ATCCATCACTTGACATATTTATCTGTTTTTTGGTTTTGGTTTTTTTTTTTATTTTGGGGGTGAGAACATTTAAGTTCTCTTAATTTTTAAAAATATTCCATTAGACTTCCGCCAAGATGGAGGCATACGTGGATAAGCCGTGCCTTCCCACACAACCAAGTTTAGAGACAACTAAATATTAGCAACAGAAAACACAGCCAGAACACAGAAAATTGAACTTTTTTGAAGTCTGTTAACAACAAATTCTTCAGCCTGACCAGTAAGGGGCAAAACCGGCAGCTGGTGGAGTGGGGTTGCACAGGAAAACTCGGTCAGACGGACTCAGGCTGCGGGTTGACTGTGGTCATGCATTGGTGCACGGATAGACAAGTGAGGGAGTGGGCGATTGGACCAGGACCCAGCGGGTCCCCTCGGTAAGCAGCAGGGAGGGCGCCGCCATTTCCCTGCTCTGACCCCACATCCACATACAGCGTCATAACCCAGCGACTCTAAGTGGCCCAGCCCTGGTGAACCACCTAACCCTCTGCTCCTCACCCACCTGTGCAAAACAGCAGAGGGTGCTGCCATTTCCCAGCTCTGACCACGCTCCCACATACAGCCTCACAACCCAGCGACCTGGGAGTCCAAGGCTCCGCTACCCACACTTAAAGGGCGTGAACAGACCAAAAAATGGCTCAAGAAGATCTCAAAGCCCCAGAGCCTATAAATCTAAGCAATGAAGAAATAGCAAAACTCTCAGACGCACAGTTTAAAACACTGGTGATCAGGATGCTCACAGAACTGGTTGATTATAGCCACAAATCAGACAAACATATGAAGGCGAAACTAATTGAAATGAATGGAATTGCACAGGAAACCAATAGCGATGAAAAGGAAACTGGGACTCAAATCAATGGAGTGGACCAGAAGAAAGCAAATAATGGCCAAACAGAAAAGAGTCAAGAAGCAAGAATTCAAAGAAATGAGGAGAGTTTTAGGAACCTCCAGGACATCTTTAAATGCTCCAACATTCGAATTATAGGGGTACCAGAAGGGGGAAAGGCACAGCCACCAGTGGAAAACTTATTTGAACAAATAATAAAGGAGAATTTTCCCAATCTGGCAAAGGAAATAGATTTCCAGCAAATCCAGGAAGCTCAGAGAGTCCCAAAGAAGTTGGACCCAAGAAGGAACACACCAAGGCACATCATAATTATATTAGTGAAAATTAAAATGAAGGAGAGAATCCTAGAAGCAGCAAGAGCTAGGGGGACAGTCACCTACAAAGGAGTCCCCATCAGACTGTCAGCAGATTTCTCAAAAGAGACCTTACAGGCAAGAAGGGGCTGGAAAGAGGTATTCCAAGTCATGAAATCCAAAGACCTACAACCAAGATTGCTCTATCCAGCAAAACTTTCATTTAGAATGGAAGGGCAGATAAAGTGCTTCTTAGATAAGATCAAATTCAAGGAGTTCATCATCACCAAGCCCTTATTCTATGAAATGTTAAAGGGACTTATCGAAGAAAAAGAAGTGAAAGAAACATGAACAGTGAAAGGACAGCAAACTCACAGTTATTAACAACCACACCTAAAACAAAAGCAAACCAAAAGGACAGCTAGATGAGGAGTAGAAACATAGAAATGAAGATCTCAAGGATGGTTAGCAACAGGGGAGTGGGAGGAGGAGAAGTGGGGAGAAGGTACAGAAAATAAGTAGCATAGACAGTAGATACAAAATAGAAGGGGGTGCAAGAATAGCATGGGAAATATAGAATCTAAAGCACTTGAGACACATGGACATAAACTAAAAGGGGAGTAATGGTGGGGACGGGGGGGTAAGGTGGAGGGGAATGAAGGGGGAATAGAGCAACTGTAACAGCATAATCAATAAAAAAATGTAAAAAAAAATAAAAAAAACATATTCCTTTATATTTACTTGCATGTTTTTATCTTTTTGTTTTCTGTTTCAGTTGTTTTGTCTCCTATCTTAAATATAATGCATTTTACTCTTTCAAAGATTTTAGCCTTCTTTTATTTCTTTATTTTGCTAGTCATAGTTTTTCTTAAATTTTAACTTTTTTCTGTTTTTTTTGGTTGTGTTTCTTTTTAAAAAATATTTATTTAAGGTGAGGGGAAGAGAAGGAGAGAAACACCAATGTGTGGTTGCCTCTTGTGCCCCCAACTAGGGACTTAGCCTGCAACCCAGGCTTGTGTCTTGAGTAGGAATTGAACCAGCAAACTATTGGTTCACAGGCCAGTGCTCAATCCACTGAGCCACACCAGCCACAGTTGGTTGTATTTCTTATTATTCTTTCATACTAATTTTAATTTTTACTACCTTAATTTTTTCATCTTTATTTTCTTAAGCATAATTCCCTCCCTTTCCTTTCCCGTTATGGTTTGATTTTATAAAGGCCAGATGGTAGTAGCAGTGGGCAGTGTCATTTAACAAATAGGGAAGATCTATCTCTGCTTCTCCTCCCAGTAGTCTCTAAGTCGATTTTTTATCTCTTTGTTTTTTCTTGACCTCTAAAATTGTAACTTAGGAATATATTGATTAAAACTACTTCTGAGTCTTGTGATTTTCCTCAAATGGCATGTGTGAACCTTTGGAATAGCTTTAAGACAGCACATACCATCTGTTTGAGAAGCTAATTGTTCTGAAATTTATGGTCTGTAACATGGGTTTTATCACTCAGTGGAGAGATCAAGACCTCTGGAGTCAGATGGCAGTGTAATAGCTCTGTTGTGGAATGACCCACGAATAAGTTTCACAATTGTTTTAGAGGCTTTTTTCCTGTCTCAAAAAAGACAAGAATAATACCTGTCCTTTCATATTTATTATAAGAAATGGTATTAGTGCATATAAATTATCCTGCATTGTGCCTGGCCCAAATAGTTCCCAGATGTGGGTCAAGGTAGGCTAGCCATGTCACCCAGAGAAAATGAAGCAGATGGGTAGAGTATGCCTGGAGTGGGTCTGCCTAGCAGAGTTAGAAAAGAACTACAGTTCTTTTAATAAATTAAAAGATTTAATATATTAAATTTAATATATTATTTAATATAGTAAAAGTGTGTTAATATATTAATAGTACTGCTGGGAAGGTCATAGGCCCCTGGGTTCATGAACAGGACTGTGGCCTTCCTCCTACTTGAGTTGCCACTATGCCCACTTCTAGCATTTTAAAATGAACCATGGTTTTAACAATTTGGGTGTAGTGGTGAAGAGAAAAAAATTACTTTAGTTGACCCAGCTTGTAAGACATAGCTCAATACCAGAGATAATACAATGTGAGAAAACCATGCCACCTGTAAATCAAGGACTTTTATGTGTAGTTTGGTTCATCTTTCACAACTAGGTTTAAGGATGAGTATCTTGCTGAGAGGGTCTTCTGAGCTCATCTCTTATTAAACAAGGATTTTATATCAGGGACTGGCAAATCTCTACTTGAGGCTCCCGTCATCTGACCTGGCCCCCTAAGGTGGTGCCTCTAGCCCAGTGTCAGAATCCCTGGGAAGACATCTGTTTCATATTGCCACAGGCTCTTAAATCTTTCAAGATATTGTGGATTTAAGTGTTGTGTGTGGCACAGATAGAGGAATAACTATTTCTACTCTATAACTTCCCGGGACCCCTAAGTTGGGGTTGTCAAACTCATTTTCACGGGGGCGGGGGGGGGGCACATCAGCTTCATGGTTGCCTTCAAAGGGCTGAACAGTTAAGGGCTGAACAGTTAAGGAGTAGTTAAGGAGTTGAAATTACATTCAGCCTTTGAAAGCAGTGACAAGGCTGATGTGGTCCCTGGTGAAAATGAGTTTGACACCCCTGCCCTAAGGGATCACCTGATCAGTCTTTGGGACATGCCCTGACTTTCTGTGCTTCTTGTAGACCACTGGTTTCTAAGCTTGGCTGCATATTAGGATCAGCTGAGGAGGCTAAAAAACACTTATGCTTAGATCCCACCTGCCTAGATTCTATTTTAAGAGTCTGTCATGTGGCCCTGGGTTTTGGTGGGGTTTTGTTGTTGTTGTTGTTGTTGTTGTTGTTTTGTTTTTAAGCTTTTCAGTGGATTCTGATGTGTGGCCCAGGTTGAGATCCCACCACCTACTGCTTCTACCCTCCCTGGTCAGATTCTGCCTGTGATTCAAATCCTGTGTTCAACACCATAGTGAACCCCCTAGTGAATCTACCTGCAATTTCTTCATCTAATCAGGGGCTCCAGGGGCAACAAACATGAGGAGCCTCTACCCTGTGCCAGCTTATGCAGCACATTGGCTCTAGAAAGGGATTTAGTACTTCAAAATAAAATTTTAAACCATTGGTCTTTGGGGGCCTGAGTCACCCTTTGTGTGTAAAAACAGCTGTTTTATAAAATGGGTTGCAATACTTTCCTCTTGATTAACTGTAAATCAAAAAGTCTTCCTTTAATTCGCTGTATAGTAGACTAATTGAATATGAGCTTCTTGCAGATTTTCACGTGAAATTTATATTTTTCAATTCTTGTCAAAAGCTTACTTCTAAAATATACCCTTCCTGAAGGAGCCTAAAAATCTATCTGTAGTTCTCTATTGTGCCTTTTTGAAATATTTTTTTCATGAAGTTCAGGAGCGACTGAGGACTGTTGATTCAAGACAGCTGATGGGGCAGGTAAAATGAAGCTAGTAATAAAAAGGCTCAGACAGGGCCTCTTTTTTTGCCCTCTTGTCCCAAGCTCATGACCTCTCTTGATACATGGAGACCAGGTGGATCATGACTATCTCATCTCCCCATTGAATCAAGATAGCCCCTCAGATCTTGCCACTGTCTCCACTGTTTTGGCTACTTGTAAAATTCTGTTTATTTTTTTCTTGGACAGTGATTGTGGCTTTCACTATAGGATATTATAAAAAATAGTCATTTGAAAGTTGTGAACTTAAAAAATATATACTGAGGGTTTTGTTTGCAACACCTGCCACTTCAGAGAATCCTTTTCTAAGGAAGAATGAAAAAGATCTTTTTCAAACTTGGTGTATTGCTAGGAAATGTCATATTCCTCCTCAGCTGCTGATTTGCATTACCCCGTGGACATTGTGGACCTACCAGCTGTTCAGTCTCTCCTTTCTGCTGGGAAGGTATGAAACTCAGTGTCAAATCTGTGGCTACCTTAAAGAAATGTCTAGTGCATGACAGTGCTTAATTTTGTGCACTAACTTTACCCCAACAGTGTTTCTCTTAAAATTATTTTCCACTTGTCTTCATTTCCTCATCTGTTTATTTATTTTTTCTCTTCTAATGTATGTATCCGTATATGCCCTGTCATCCTTCTTGGAATAAGCTGGTGTACATACTAGCAAATAAATAAGAACTATCCTAAACATTTTAAGAAACTGTCATTTTTGATCCACTCTTACTACCTAGGTCTTAGCTCTTACCTTTGCTAATACATACAGAAGTCTCCTGTCTGGGTCTCCTGTGTCATTTCTCTTCCTGTCAGAATCCATTCACTTGCACGGTTTTGTCCAGCAGGGTGCATGGCCTTTCATAGCAGTGATAGCCTCCATTTTCAAACTCATTTCCTATATCTCCCCACCAGATCTTCACAGTGTTGCAGGTCTTGCTTCTGCCCCTCTGTCTTTTCTTGCTCTATCTACTAATGTGAAGCCCTTCCTCCACTCCTTCACCTTTCTTGGCTCAGAGTCAGTTTCCTTTGCTGATCCCCTCCAGGCAGAGCTGACCACTTCCTGGGTATTGCTTCCTTTACTGGTGCACATCACTGGTCACACTAACCAGCCTGCTTCTCATTCATAAGCACAAATTAGAAAAAGGTGCCCACTCCTTCTTCAAGACACTTTATAGTATTTCCAACTGTTGGAAAACCATCTTAATAAATACAGGGTGGGGCAAAAGTAGGTTTAGAGTTGTTCATATGGAAAGTAGTGGAATAACTCAACTTTAATTAACTGCCTCCTATTATGTAATCTGTTTTACAACAAGTGACTGACTAAATGTGGACTGGATCAAGGTAAGAATTCTGGGCTAACCCTCCACACATACCTACATTTAGGTGGTCATGTCCCCCCAGGGGAAGCTGGCACCACCTTTACCCACCAGTCAATGTGTAACTCCATGACACCATCCCGTAAACTATAAATCCACAGGACAAAGGACCAGATGCCTTGCTGCTCTCGCTTTTGCTTGTTCCCTTCTCTTCCACCTTAGCAAGGCCCATTCTCTTCCCTGAGGACATGCTACTAATAAATCCTCCTTTACTAGTATGCTGACTGACTTGTTGATCTGTAATGCTTTACTGTGTGAGCAAAAAGAACTGAGTTTTTCCTCACAGTAGTCCCAGGGATAGAACACTTCCAGATATGAAAGAAAGCAGTCAGTGACCATTTGGGCCCATTTGAAAGCTCACAAGATTAGCTATTGCTGAAAAGGATAAGCTTCTTGTTTATCAGCTGACATGACACAAAGTGGCTTTGCTTCCTGGCTGTGCTTCCAGGGTAATGCAGGACTTGGCATACAGATTGGGTTCTGCCCTCAACTATAAACTGCCTCCTATCATGTATCTGTTTTACAAGGTGATGACTAAATGTGATCTGGAGCAAGATAAGAATTCTGGGCTAACCCTCCATACATACCTAGGGCTGTACTGAGTGCTTGCTCTGTGCTCAGCCATACCCCTATGGCCTAGGTTCTGGATTTAGTCCTCAGAACGGCACTTTTGCTTTGGCTTCAGACCAGCCCTGGTATTCTAAAAGGAAGGAAAAGAGGAAAGGTGGCCCCTTGCTAGTTTATTCTTTGCTTTATTTTTACCCATTGGGACCTAGCCCAGGCAAAGGCCCTTCATACAAACCTGAATCTAACAATAAGTTGACATCTTTTGTTTTTAAATTTCTAGGAATCAGGATGCCAGTGCCTCTGGGAAAACTGGTCTTTTTTACCAGTGTGATGACTAGTGGGGGCTGTGCCCTTGTGTATTACCTTGTACAAAGTAAGTATCCAGCAAACTGCTTGAGGCATGGCCTCCTCCTACCTCTCTTATCCTTGTTCCTCCATCATAGGAAATACTTCAGATGCTTTCTGTAAAGAAGAAAGTAGGAGAGGGCTATTTTTAGAAACCTGTATACCATTCCATTCCCTGTAGTTTCCTTCTTATCCTATAATCCCAATTTTCTTAGGAAGCTCAATTTCAAATAAAAGGACCCAGTTTGTTTGCACCAGAAGCATTGTAAAAACTGGGATAGGCACAGGAGATCCAAGATTTCTGAGATTATATAAAGAACATAGAGAAGGTGGAATACCAGATGGTTTACAGGTGAGGAAAACTGGTTGTATTTCTCAAGTGTTCTCAGCCTATTTGCCCTGCCATTCTTTAATGTTGATGTAGTGAAGGAGGGGACCCTGAGCAAGGGATGTCTCTGGTAAGAGTAGAAAATGAAAGGAGAGTCCAGAATGGAAAATCTTGATAAATGTGGCTTCCAGTCCCACTGCATTGAAATTTGAATTTGTAAATACAAGCCACAGTTATTGTGAGCAACTGGGACATTTAAGGTCATTTAGTTGCTGCAACTTGTGAAGCAGCAGCAGTTTTTATTCAGAATGACTTTCTTTGAAGCTTCACGCCCTCCCAGCTTGCATCTTCACCCTGACTCTATAGCATTTTCACTTCCTGCCAGAATGTTAGAATCACCAACAGTCAGCCAAAGAGAACATGGTCTCCTTTCCAACCTTTCTTTCTGACCTTCTTTCAGTTGGCCCAGAGGCCCTTGAGTTTAGAGCTGACCTAGGAAGAGCATTCCCAGGGATAATTCAGACTGGAGTAGTTCAACATCCTTTCCCTTCTGTCAAAGGAGTAGAGGCAAAACAAGACAAGAATGGGTGCATTTTACAGGTTGGGAGATTCACAGTCTTTCCCCCTTAGGAAGCTGGAGTCAGCCAATAGACAGCCCAGCTAGTCTTGCAGCCAATTAGTTGAATCTCAGCTCCAGTTTTTGACTAGTTGTGTGGCTTATAGAGGAGTTCTTTACTTTTCTGTGCCTCAGTTATCTGTGTGATGAGTGTTAATATTAGCGTTTATGCATGAACCTGTGAAAATAAATCTCACAGCCTGTGAGATGGAGAGAATCATTAAGATACATGAAATATTGAGAACAATATCTAGGCATGGAAATCCTCAATAAAGTTCAACTGTCTGGACCCAGCATCTGCTACTCCTTTTCCTGTCAAGGCTGGCACATTTTTCATTCCCACAGTGAAACCAGAAAAGTTGGCATTCATGTTGCCTGTCACTACTAGAACCAATAAAATAAGTAGAGACAGGGATTGAATTGTTATAGACTTTATTCAGATAGCTGGCAATTTGAGAGAACAGTGGGTTATGTTTCCTAAAAGACCATCTTACATTTCAAGCCAAACTCTTGTAAGGAGAAAAAAGTATAGGTAAAGGATTTGGAATTCACAGAAAAAGAAGCATACGTAAGGATTTGGGGATTAAGGAAAAAGGTTAATCAGATAAAAGCTTCCATTGACTGATGGTTCTTTATCTGTGTCCTGAACTGTGGAATATCTCTCCCTGGAGCACAGTGCCTCAGATACCACTTGATTGCTTGCTGTTCTCCTGTGACATATAAATGTCAAATTGCTTGTGGTCTCCTGGAGTCAGGGTGGGTCATATTTTCAGTTCCTGAAACAGTAACTTTGTACATGCATTAATTAGTTACTAAGCCTATTAACCTTATTAATAGTTACTTAAAACTAAAATTTTCTAATTCTTGAGTTCCTCCATCAATAGCATCCCCTGCAGTTGCACGTCTGAGAAGCAGAACAGGAGGGGTCTTTTCTTTTTTGCCTCTTTAGTCTCAAAGTGCCTTTCCCTTTTATTTATGTGGTTGGGTATATAAGAGGGAAGCTTTTTCTTGTCAAGCCAGAAACCTTCCTTGGGAAGCCTACTTTTGTTTCTGCCTAGTACCATACACCTTTAGGGAGGTGTTTCCTGGAGTTCCTGTTAGACTTTGGGCCAAGAACAGTACCTGAAACAAAGCAGGTTATATGTTTTATCTGCATAAGATGTCTACATAAATCTGTAAACTTGAAGACTGGTATTTTAATGTTCTATTTCTGGCCTGTGGGTTTTCTTGTTATTGATGTTGTGGTATGTTTTATGCTGGTTTATCAGGACCTTCATCTTAATGAAAGAAGCAGTGTTTAGAAGTTAGTCATAGATTCTGGCCCCAGCTCTGCCTTGAACTAGCATTGTCACTTTTAGCAAATCATGGTATCCTAGGTCTTGAGAACCACAGGAGCGTTAGTGAAGATCTGATCAAACCCCTTATCAGGGGTGTTAAACTCATTTTCACCGGGGGCCACATCAACCTCATGGTTGGCTTCAGAGGGTCAAATGTAATTTTCGAATTGTATAAGTGTAACTACTCCCTAACTGTTAAGGAGTTGAAATTATATTAGGCCCTTTGAAGCAACTGCCAGGCTGATGTGGCCCCTGGTGAAAATGAGTTTCACACCGCTGCCTTAGATGAAGAAATCAGAGATGAAAAAAATGAGGCACAGAAAAGTTAAGTATCTTGCCCAGTATCATCTGCCACATCTTCACAGATCCTGATTTTGTAGACTTTTGTTTTGGAGTCTCTAAAATGGATGGTTTAGAGTAGGTTGTCCCTTATTCTTCCATCCATAACTTTCATATTTGTTTCTGTTTCCCTGTTGCACATGAATTGTATCATTTAACTATCTACAGAGAGTGTACCGAACCAAGTTCAATAAATAACAACAAAAATAAAACAATTGTCTTTCCCACTTAGAAACTTTTTCCAGGGCTTCCTATTACCAGTTGGCATTGGAGCAGCTGCATAGCCACTCTGAGGCTCTGGAAGCTCTAGGCACTCCTCTCAACATTCACTATCTTCATCTCACTGACAAGTACAACTTCGTGGACATTGCTGATGCCCAGGTAACATGCTCCCCCCAGATGACTGTAGGCTAGGTGCCTCCTGAAGGAGAGGAGGTGGCCACCAGAATCCAGAGAGAGTCTGGGAGGAAGCTGCAGTAAGGATTTGGGATAGGTAAAGCTACCATGTAAAACTGTCACTAGGGATTACTTGAGATCTATTAAAATTGTTTACAAAAATTTATTTTCATGTTTTTTCTATTTTAGACAATTGATGTGGCAGGGAATGCAATGTTTGTGCTCAAGCCCCTATCTTTAACTGGTTAAGAACTAACTAGTAGTAGTTATCCACCACTTATTTCAGCTTTATTTCACCACTTATTTAAACTTGATATCTACAACTAGTTAGTTAACATTCATTCAAATGTAAAGAGCTTATTTAAATTTAGTTTTGAAGCTTATTTATTTACATTGATTGCATGGAATGCCAGTTCATCTTTTCCAGCTGTATCATATCTTTTTTTAATATATATTATTGATTATGCTATCAGAGTTGTCCCATTTCCCCCCTTCGTTCCCCTCCACCCTGCGCACCCTCTCCCACTCACATTCCCCCCTTTTAGTTCATGTCCATGTGTGTTATTTATAAGTTCTTTAGCTTCTAAATTCCCCATACTATTTTTACCCTCCTCCTGTCTATTTTCTCCCTACTATCTATGCTACTTATTCTCTGTACCTTCCCCCCTCCTCCCCGGCCCACTCCCCTGTTGATAACCCTCCATGTGATCTCCATTCCTATGGCTCTGTTCCTGTTCTAGTTGTTTGTTAGTTTGTTTTTGTCTTTGTTTTAGGTGTGGTTGTTAATAATTGTGAACTTCCTATATTTTACTGTACCTGTTTTTTCTCTTCTTTTTCTTAGGTAAGTCCCTTTAACATTTCATATAATAAGGGCTTGGTGATGATGATGTCCTTTAACTTGATCTTATCTGCCCTTCCATTCTAAATGAAAGCTTTGCTGGATAGAGCAATCTTGGATGTAGGTCCTTGTCTTTCATGACTTGGAATACTTCTTTGCAGCCCCTTCTTGCCTGCAAGGACTCTTTGGAGAAATCAACTGACAGTCTGATGGGAACTCCTTTGTAGGTGACTGTTTTCTTATCTCTTGCTGCTTCTAGAATTCTGTCCTTCATTTTAATCTTGGGTAATACAATTATGATGTGCCTTGGTGTGTTCCTCTTTGGGTCCAACTTCTTTGAGACTCTTTGAGCTTTCTGGATTTCCTGGAAGTCTTTTTTTTTTGCCAGATTGGGGAGGTTCTCATTTATTATTTGTTCAAATAATTTTTCCACTTGTTGCTCTTTCTCTTCCCCTTCTGGTACCCCTATAATTAGGATGTTGGGACATTTAAAGATGTCCTGGAGGTTCCTAAGCCTCCTCATTTTTTTTAATTGTTTTTTCATTCTTTTCTGTTTGGTTGTTTCTTTCCTCCTTCTGGTCCATTCCATTGATTTGAGTCCCAGTTTCCTTCCAGTCACTATTGGATCTCTGTGCATTTTCCTTCATTTCACTTAGTGTAGCCTTCATTTTTTCATCTAATTTGTGACCAAATTCAACCAGTTCTGTGAGCATCCTGATCACCAGTGCTTTTAACTGTGCATCTAATAGGTTGGCTATCTCTTCGTTGCTTAGTGGTATGTTTTCTGGAGCTTTGATCTGTTCTTTCATCTGGGCCATTTTTTTTTTTTTTTTTGTCTTGATGCATCCGTTACATAGTGAGGGGCAGAGCTTTAGGTGTTTATCAGGGCAGGGCAATCCACATTGCTGGGTTGTGATGCTGTATGTGGGGCAGGGGTCTGAGAAGGAACAATCTCACTTGCTCCACTCTCTGCTGGATTTCAGTCACTTCCCCCTCTTCCCCCAAGAAAACTGGGCCCTCCTGATGTTGATTTCCATGTGGGCGGGTTTGTGTATGCTCCAGGACCCTGTGAGTCTCTCCAGTGAACTCTCCTGTGAGGCTGGGAGTCTCTTCTGGCACCTCAACCCCCACAGTTGTTTTCATTTGGTGTTTTGAGGCTTTATTTCCCTGCTCTGGGACCCTGGGTTGCCTGGTCTGTCCTACTCCCCAGTTTCACCTAGTTTATCTGTGCATGAATGTGGGACCACCTGGGTCCACCCGCTGCCACCTTGCATACCCGGAGTCTTCTGCCTGGTGCCTTGGGCCCAGGGTCTGCCAGCTACCGCTTTTTTTTTTTTTGCTGCGACCCTTCTCTGCCAGGCCACCCGGCTCCACCCCTCCTAAGACCACCCCTCCTAATGGTCTAGATGATGTGTCTACTTTAACTCTTTGGTTGTCAGACTTCCATATACTTCAATTTTCTGTCAATACTGGTGTTTTTTTTGTTTCTAAATTTTTGTTGTCCTTATTTTGGTTGTGCAAGGAAGCACAGTTTGTCTATCCATAGCTTCATCTTGCCTAGAAGTCCTCTTATATCTTCTTTTATAAGTCAGCTGTTAAAACTCACCAAAATATGAGTAAGCATGTATATCATTTAACTAGAGTTTAATATTTGTTTAGAGCCCCATTTTTTGAGGTAAAATTTACATTCTGTGAAAGGTACAAATTTTAGTGTACTATTTGATTTTTAACAAGTACAGTGCAAGCCCTTATCTAGATGTGGACAGCTCCCGTCACCCTACAACTTGCTCATTCTGTTCCCAGTTGGTTCCTTCTCACATCTTTCAGCCCCAGGAGAGGCAATCGCTTTTCTGATATTTTTTCCCAGTGTACTTACCTGTTCTAGAACATGGAATCATGCTTTATAGACTGTTGGGTAAGGCTCTTTCACTTAGCATGTTCTTGATATTAACTGGATTTTGAAATAATCATTGCAAGTTCCCAGAGCATTTAGTTTTGGCACATAAGGTCTCCTTGCCAAATAAGAGGGCTGCCCTTGACCTCACCAAACCATCCAAAGAGAGGCAGGACATTTGGAGGAAGCCAGATAGAAAACCAGCTGAATTCTCCAGGTTTTTCTCTAGTTTTTATAGGGTTAGCGCTAGAAAGTATCATTTTGTCATCTCTTAAGAGGACAGTAACATATCTCATTTTACATCCACAGTTGAAGATTCCTGTCTCTGGATCCAGGTCAGAGGGCCATCTTTATGTTATTTCATCCAGAGATGCCCCCTTTAACAGGTATTATGGGAAAATGGGTGGGTATGGAGGAACAGAAGAACCTTCTGATGGAAACAGTCCCGATTCCCATTTTCATTTGTAGTTACATAATTTTGGTAATATGAAGTACTTCTTCAAAGTTTGAAAAGTTTCATAGCCTGGGCAGCAAGCCAGTGTTTTGACTCTGAGCTTAGTTCAGACATTTTATCCAGTGCAATCTGCCACAGTGTCCACTCCTTAGTCTACTGAATTTCAAGAACTTTACACGTACAGCGTTGGTCTTTGATAATGTTACAGCTTCTAAAACTACTGCCTCAATCATTACAAATAAAGATATGGTTTCCTATTCTAGGATTATTCAATACATTTTTTATATAAGTTTTCCACCCCATTAATTTGTTTTTCTTATCTAGTTGTCATAGCTATATTTACTCAGCACTCCTGCCAAGCTTCTTTCAGAGATGTTAGCTATTTAGCCAGGATGTGTTGTAATTCCCCAGGATAAAAGTGACAGACAGCCCTTAGGCAGCTCCCATGTGCCTCCCCCTAGGTTCATTGGCTCCAACGCCTGGTGTTAGTGGAGAAGTTGGCCTTCACTAATTGAAGGTCAGAGTGAATTAGGAAGTGGGGAATAAGTTGCTCCTTCTCTTTCCTGGTGCCCCTTTAATTCACCCATCAACCTTTTACTATTAAACTTGCCTCAACAGTGATGCTGGTTAAGTAAGGAGAACCTATAATAAAATGTTAAAACTTTATGTAAACCTAAATTTATATCATAAAATAGTCTTTAAAATTTGAAGACAGTATTCAAACAACTTCATTTTTTACTTTTTCATTAATTTTAGAGAAAAACATTGACTTGCTGTTCCATTTATTTATTTATGCATTCATTGACTGATTCTTGTATGTTCTCTGACTGGGGATCCAACCTTCAACTATGGCATATTGGGATGATGCTTCAACCAACTGAGCTATCTGGCTAGAGCTTTATTTCCTTTATTTGCCAGTGTTTTCTGGATTACTTTTGGTTTCTATCAGGTGGCATCTTCAAGAGGTCTTCTTAGAGCTCAAGGATGGTCAGCAGATTCCCATGTTCAAGCTCAGAAAGGAGAATGGTGATGAAGTAAACAAGGAGTAAATATTGAAAAGACCCAGCTTTCTCCAAGCATAGGCTACCCTCATTAACATGTACCCTCCATGACTTTGATTCAGTTTTCTAGTCATCAAGAGGGATGATTATATATGCTGGCATCTGATAGTTTTGTTTTAATTCTAATTTGACCATAAGGAATGCTATTAATGTTTTATTTAATCAGACAAACATTTACTCAAAGTTTATAATTATTTGAAAGTTCTCTGTACAAAAACCTGAGTAAAATCACCAGTATTAATAAAATGTTTCTTGAATTTTGCTTGTTCTCACCTCATTTTGTTTCGTGCCCCAAACACTCCTGTCCTGCAGTTGTTCAAGGCCAGGCAGGTTCCCACGCGACTTGGGCATACAGAAGAAAATGCCAGAGATGTTGGGATATCTGACAGGCCTTTATTCCGGGGTGGGGCTGTCCACACACAGCACAAGCCATGAGTTGCACCGCAGAAAATTCCAACTCCTTTATATACTAAGTGCATACAAAGCCGGCTGCATGTCAGTGTAGACTATCACTGGTTATATAACAGATAAACCTTGATTCTGCACGTGTGGGCCCTTAAGCACAGTTGTAGAAACACTGCTAAGTCCTGGTTCCTGGAATATCCGGGTCTGGGAGCCCGACTAATTCCATTTTCCCTTCATTCCACCACTTCAGGGTTCCTCACCATATAATCTGTGTAAGGGATGTCTTCCACAAGGATCCTTTAGCAAGCAAGAGAAGAGCTCTGCACCCAAATGCTGCAGTAGCAGTACAAGCTGCAACAGCAAGCAACCAGAACAGAAGCACTGCTGCCCAAGACAGCAAGGACCCACCACCATTCAGTAGTTAAGGATGCCCAGCATTCCTTCAGGGGATCACCTGTTAGGTGTTCCATAGCATGGGTCTCACTGGATATCTGGAGTGCACACACAGCTTTCAGCCCCAACTAGGGCACATACCCTGCCTTGTGATGCAGCAAGCATGTCTGAGGCCATGCTATTTTGTAGGGCAACTTTTCTCGATACACTTCCTCATTTAAGAGGCTCAAGGAATCGCGTTGCATTTAACACAGGAGCAGTGTACAAAGCCAAAGCCGTTATCTCAGCCTTAGTGACTATAGAAGCAGCTTGAGGAGAAAAGATGGCTAAATGGGTAGTACCATCAGGGGTATGCTTTATCCAGTGTTGCGCCTTAAATGCTTCCCAATGGGCTGGTTCATAAGAGTTTTATGAACTCAGGAACATGAGGCCACCCCCAGGTACAATGGCAAGTCCAATTTCCAGGCAAGTAAGGCCACCCATATTAGCCATACACCCAGAGGGCCCCAGTGGGAACTGCAGCCCACAAGTTATTCTGTGCCTCCTGGTAATGCATAAGAGTATGCTTCTGACACAGACCTATTGGAGTCCAGCCTACTTGGGCTTGTCCTTTGATGTTTTCAATACAGAGCAGGGCTGGTCCAGCCAACTCCATGGTCTCAGCCATGAGCCAACATGAGTCATCCCATATGGTGTATCCAACTAATGGCTGAGGCTGGTCAGACCATTGCTCTGCGCCAGTGTTGTGGTCCACCAGGAATGTGCACTGTTCCACTGGTGTCATAACCAAATCCAATTTGCTATGGAAGCCAGAGGGATGCACCATGGGAGGCTGGCACCGTGCTAAGGGGATTCAGTGTAGATTCAGCATGCTGATTGGTTAGCCACTGAGGCCTAGGTATATACCTAGTCAACTAAGGTGTTAGTTTGTATCCTGTGGGCGAAAAGACAAAACAGTTATTGTACTAACAATGGCAAATTACAACCCTCAGGCAAGGTACAAGCAAGTTTCTGGCCGAGGGGGCCTCCCTGGGCACAAACACCATACTTTTCTCACTTTGACTAGGGATCCAGCACCTACTTGCAATAAGAGTGGACAAGTCATAATGGGTCATAGGGATATCACAAAGGAGTTGTGGGGAAGTGTTTCATGGTCTGCTGGCTCTGTGTATGTCACTTTTAAGATTGGGAGTCATGTCCCAATCATCCAGGGTACTACTATTTGCAAGTTTCTACCTCTTGTTCCCAAGGAGCAGCAAAAGCTACCCAACGCATGTAGGAGGCCTTTATCTTTCAAGTCCATGTCCAAGTGGCAATTTGTCCATGCTCCAGGCCCTCAGGTGCTGCGGACCAGCCGCAGCAGAGTCCAGGGATTCCCAAAGGTGGGTAAGGCATCGGCAATGGGTAACAGACAAAATGCCTCAAAGGACAGTGAAGCTCTGTTCTGTTTATTGCAAGTACAAGCAGGTTTTTATATTTTCATTTTAGGTAGTGATTAACATTTGCAGTGTAGCATAATCAGTTAAGCAGAAAAAATCAATACAAAGGTAACCAGGAAAAATATGAAAGTTCCCATAGATTCAGTTATAATAAACAAAGATTATTTTGACCAGGAGAGCCATTAATCAGATAATTAGAAGTAGCTGTATGTACAGAATTTGAATATCTTAATTGTATATTAAAGTTTCTCAGAATTTATCACGGGGCAAAAGGATACGCTAGATTGAGTAGAGGTAATAGGAAATTTATTATAAGGCCTTTATGATGTCTAACTTAGCTATCCTTTTCTGTCTAAAATGTTTCTCTGTGTACTATAAACTGACTTTCTAGTAACTGTTTCTACGTGTTTAGTTTGTAATAGTTAACCAGCCCTTTTTTAATTTCTTTGTCCAATTGATGCATATTCTGTTACTCCAACAACTTCCAAACATTCAGGGATTATTTCATTAGAGGGAACTTTGTTCTCTGGTCAAGAAATTATTTTGTACAACTTCACAGGAATTATGCTAATCAATGAACCTGAAATATAAGTGTCTAACAATCCCACCACCTTTTGATTATCAGAACAAATATGTAAGGAGAGATAGACAGGAAATCCAGCCACAGTTGCCTCTGCCTTGCAGATGCATCTAAACCATCCTGACCATATCCCTGGGCTGTGGGCAGGGGTCTATATAGTTTTTACTTGTTTTCTTGGAAGACCCTTTGTAACTGTGGGTAAGGAACAGTAGTCGGAAAGTCTCTCTAATCTGTTCTTCCATTCCCTCAACTGTTGGCAGCACAGCCTGTGTTTGCAACAACAACCTGGTTCTTTATTAACTGGATTTAACTGTTGATTTAAGAGATCTAACTTGTTTTTCTTATTTCTGGTACACCATGGCAGTCCTGATGGATTTAAGTTGCTCAAACCAGGGTAATTTATACAACTTGACATGTTTTCCTTTATGGTTAATAATTATATTACCCTGGCTGTCGTACTCCCCTGTATAAGGGAGAGGAGAATCTGGAGATTTTTCTATCCTTTCAGGCAGTTTTATGGGGAATACTAATGTTTTCCCCTGAACTGTTCCCTCCTCTTGGGTGACTTTCACAGGAATAAGTAAGTACAGTTCAATGTCTATACTCAGTAGCAAGAGTAAAATAATTAAAATAGCCAATTGTTAACTCATTTTGGATGCCACATTCTCCTCTGGGGAGATGAATTCCTTGAACTCGAATCCTCCATGCCCGGAAATTGTCAAACAACATGGTTGGAAGAGGACGTGGCATTCAGGGGCAGGCAACAGGATATTTCCTTGTTCCCCCAACCCCAGTTTTAGCAAAGCTTCCCTAGTCTGTACTTGTAGCTGAATTGGAGTTGCAGTCCGGTGGAGTACTGGAGCTGGCCACCCACTCCAAATCTTCTCAGAGTTTGGAGGACAGTCCATAAGCATTTCATCCAGGCCTCCCACCCCCCAATGTAAGGGTGGCAGCCATGGCTTGTGAGTCTTGCTTCAGTAAGCCATTATGCCATTCAATCATCCTGGCAGCTCTGGGGTAATTGGCCACATGGAACTTCCAGGCAATTAGATGTCTTGGGCCCATTGTTTCACCAAGGCCCCTGTAAAGTGTGTCCCTCTATCACTTCAAGTGATCAAGGGTCTCCCATAGATAGAGTGTAAGTGCCCCAGAGCAGCAATCACCACTTTTTGATCCAGGTGGCATGCCTGGTATGCAACCAAGAGTTTGGTGGCCGTGTCCACACATGTGATTGCATACTGAAACCCCTCTGAACTAGGCAGGGGTCCAATCACATTAACCTGCTGCCACTGTCAGCAATACTTGTCCCCATACCATCTGCCCAGTAGTTTCCAGAGGCATCTGGGGATGCTCTTGCAAGCAGACAACACAGGTCTCACAAGCTTTCTGTACCTCTGCTAAAGTGACAGTTAACCCCTAAGCTTTGATCATAGACCACATGGTCTGTCAAGCATGTAAGAGGTGACAGTGTAGCCACTGGGCTACTTTTCTTGATGGGCTGGGAGGCACCGTTCCCAGCCATAGCACCTTGTCTAGAGTATCAGCCTCATCATTCCCATGGGAGGCTAGGGGTGCATGCCCGGTCACATGATATACATGATATACAGTGATTTGCTTCTGGTGGCCTAATTCCTATAGGTCTTGCCACAGGGCCTGCTCCCATAATGGCCTATGCATAACCATTCATTTATTTGTATGCCATGCAGAGATCCATAACGTTATTTCCTGGTACACTGCCCAAATATCTGTGCAAATAGTCAGGGGCAGCACTTTGTTTGCAATCATGAGACAAAAGGCTTACAGTTTTGCCCACTGGCCACTCTGACTGACTACAGTGTCAAACAAGATTGGTATGTCTTTGGTAAATGGTCTGCCCTCTGCTGGGCCCATCAGTATACCACACATTTGAGGGAAGAGGTGCCTACCCTTCACGGAAGTGGTTAGCTTCCACTTCTGATGTGGTAGGAGCAGTAGAATTTTCATCTAGATAGGTGACAGGGCCTCACACTTCCTGCAACTCAGCCCATAGGGGACTAGCTGACAAAGTACACCTTTGTTGCAGATAAGCCCCATACTTAGCCAATGTGAACATCTGGGCCATCCCACTGTGATGATTGGTCATCCAGTCTTGGACCCACCCAGCAAGGGGGTAAGTGGCCCTTGCTGTCATGAGGGCAGTTTCTGTTATAGCTCCTATGGTCAACAGGCAGCATACACTACCACCAGTTGCTTTTCAATCAGGAAGTACCATACCTCTGTTCCCTTCCATAGTTGGGACCAGAATCCCAGGGGTTGACACAGCTGTACCAATCTCTGCCAAAGACCCCACCAAGAGTCTTATGTCACATGCACTACTAGTTCACAAGGTCTGGCAGGATCCAAAGAATGCAAGGCCTGAGCATGTTTAACAATATGCTTTGCTC